GGTAGGGAGGCGGCAGGGAGGCGGGATCCTCGCCGTGTGTATGGAGCTGAGTGTGACAGACTGCCTGAGGAGGGGAGGTATCTCTCTTTGCGCCCCTCAGCAGCCGAAGGACACCCGCTTTGGCCTTCCCCCCGCTTAGCCCTGCGCCCAGGGGAGGCCGCCATGTGGCTCCTGCTGTTTGCGGGCTAGGAGCCTCTCCTGCTCCTCGGTGGTCTTTTCCTCACCGCTGCCCGCTACAAAGCCTATTCGGCCATAACCTCTCTCACAGGTCGGGGCTGGAAGGGACCTCTGGAGATCACCTCGTCCAACCCCCCCATAGGAACTCGTCCAGGCACATTTTGAATATCCCCAGAGAAGGAAATTCCTTCTTTCCTCTTTATCTTATCCCCTCCTTTCTGTTTTTACCCCATCCCCAAAGCCATGAATGTCCGCCCGACAGGGTCAGCAATCAGATGCAGGCTTCATATGGTGGAAGATGCTCACTTTGTGTGTGTAGCCGTGCTCAAGTGTCTGATGGCAACAACTACAGCCTCTCAAAATTGTCCCCTCTAAAATTAACTGAAGTGCCAAGTGCTGAGAAGTCTGCAAAGCGAGGATCAAAACAGATACGTGAAAACCTCTGGTGTCTGCGCTGGAAATGCTTGTAAAATTTGCATCTTCATCTTTGAAGTTTTTCTGTAAAACTCTTTTAGCACTCTGATCTCGTAACAGTTACGAGCAGCCCTTCTGCAGACTCGGCTGTGTGTCCAGCCAGGCTGCTGGTATAAATAGCGGTGCTCTGTTTGTCCTTGTGGTTATCTGCAGAGGGAGGGCAGTCTCTGGCAAAATCAGCCAGCTTAATTTTGGCTGATCCTTTGGCATAAGGATGCACTCCTGTCAAAAAGGTACAGGATTAGGATGGGGAGGATGGCCAGGTTTACCCATCCTAATATGTCACATTTCATTTTAGATATTTAGTATGACAGATCCGTCCCGTGAAGTAATTTTCTTTGTTAAGAGACTTCAGGAACAAAACCTGTTTTTATTAAATGATCTTTATTGTGACCAATGTATGAGTTCTGTTTACGTTCATAAAATTGCTTCATCCCTGTATTCTAGGTGAAGATATTTGCCCCCAATATTGAGCAAAGGGATGTAGTCAATCACCTGAAAGGAAGTCCAACAGAAGAGAAGAGAAATGTGTTAGTTGAAAGTGCCAGATTGGCAAGAGGAAACATTCAGGATTTGGCTGAACTGAAAGCTAGTGAATTCGATGCGGTCATTTTCCCTGGTAGGTACTTAAAAAAGACAGTTATTTGTGTTTTTTCAATTGCAAATAACTGCTTTGCCTCTGGTACTTTTTAAATCCATTTAGAGAATAAATTATACTTGTGAATTTGAGAGGTATGTAAGTTTTTTTCTTTCTTTTATTTATTTTCTTTTGAGGGTTAGAAAATGTTTTAGCAAGCTCTCATGGGCTGGTTAGTCACCTCAGTTTATTAATTTATAGTTCATTAATTTAAAATGCCAGTGTTCTTTTGTTAAATTATACATCACACTGTTCCTTTTTTCTTAAGACTGTGAAAACGTCAGTATCTACTTGTGGACAAGAATACTGACCAGAGTATGAAAGTCCATGGCCTTAATTTTAGAGCCTCTGAAATTGTGGGCAGAATAGCAGGTTTCCAAATAGATTCAATTCCCTGTCAGATGTGAGTACATTTTGTTTTAATTACGTATCTGGTCTGCTGCTGATCAAGTCATACTAAACATGTTGATGGATAATTTTTTATTTATAGACTACAAAATTGCCTTTCAGATGGAGGTAGTCGTAAGCACTTCAGAAATGAGGAGGCCAAAGCATCACGAGGTTATTATGACTTGCTGAAGAGCACTTTCCAGAATACTCACAGTACTGTTAAATATTGCCTTCACGGTTGTGCCCAAGCGTTAATTTTGAAGTTGTTACGCTGTCTTCTGTTGTAAGGCCAGCAGAGGGAGTGCGTGTATTACACAGAGAAACACTTCTAGCACTAAAATGTGCGGGTGACATCAGGGCTGATCAGGGAGTTAGGGGCTTCCACGTTAATTTCATGCTGTTACAAGCCAGGCTCGGGGGAGATTGCTGTAATAGCAAAAACAAGTTTTAGAGGGAAATAAACACTATTCAGTTTGAAAATTAAAATCTTACCTCAGAGATACCAGGTAACACTTGAAAGTGAGCAAAAGGATGAAAGGAAAAATACTGAAAATGCAAAGCTTCTTGGTGCCGTCCATTGAAATACTTGTGGAAATTTCAGTTTGTTTATTGTAGAAAAGTTGATGATGTGCACATTCCATAAGGAATCAAATATAATGGGTGGTTACACTCACTAATAACTTTCTTACTTTGGCCATTTTGATGGTTATAAATACAGCAAATGAAGATGCTGTAAAATATAATGTGCTTGTACAATTAAATGAGGTTTAAATGCAAATAAAAGGTTATTATAACTAATTTGTAGAAAGACAGATTCAGCATTTTCTTTAATGTGAAATTATGTTACTCATAAGTGTTATGTCTCAGAATATCAAATGATATTGATTCCTTTTAATGTAATATCCATTTTGTGTTTATTGTGTTAACCTCTTTTTTCTTTTTAACTCCCAAAAGAATTCTAAGTGGGGGGAAAGAAGCTCTCCTGTATATGTTTAAGTGTTGAACTAAAACTTAAGAGTGAAATTACTGTAGAGGGTCAAACCACTGTTTGCATTACTCTCATGAGCTGTTCTCTCTACTTTTAACTGTTGTTGGCCTTTCTTCTAATACCTCTCTTGCTCATCAAGGGGTGCATATCAGATGCTGCAGCTTTTCCAGTCACTAGCAAATGCATGTGAGGTTTCCTATTTATTTGTTACTCATTAAAGCAAGATGAAGCCTTCTGGCCTACATAACTTATGTGGTATAAAAAATCTGCAGTTAAACTTTTAATATTGAAAATCCATCATGTTTCATGTCCTGAAAGCTTTCAGTGTAGTAATTTTAACAGTCCTACGTGTGCCATGATCATACTGTAAAAGAGGAGAACTTCTTTCTGGTACTGAATTTAATGGCTTTTGGAGACACCTTACATTTCAGCTTTCTGTTTGCTTGTTGGGTTTTTTTAGGTGGTTTTGGTGTAGCAAAGAACCTGTGCTCCTGGGCTGTAGATGGCAAGAACTGTACTGTCAATGAGCACGTCAACTCCACACTCCAAGCTTTCCACAGTGCTAAAAAGCCCATTGGTCTGTGCTGTATATCGCCAGTCCTGGCAGCTAAAGTCTTTCCTGGTTGCGAGGTCACAGTCGGCCAAGATAAAGACGTAGATGGAAGGTAAGAAGGAAATGGATGGAGATAATTTATGTGGGAATTGGGATTAAGAAATGACCAGTCTTCTGCGCAGAAGTCTGAGGTCTCTGGTGCCAGTAAACCTCAGGTGTCTTATTAGTGACATTTTTCACTTATTTCAAGTGGTAGATTTCAGTTCATATTAAGTGAGATACAGAATGTGCTTCCCAGCATCTTTGAAGGCCATGGTTCATGTTGCAAATGTGCAGAGGAAGGATAGGCATCTGGCCAGCTGCCATTCCGAAATTGGGTACCCTGTGATAATTTGAGCGTTTGTTTAAATTACATCTGTGGGGTTTTGTCTGTTCGGGGATTTTTTAGAAAGTTTTCCTGGTGGTAGTGGTTTGAGGCCAGTTTAGGGGAGGCAGATAAGAACAGAGCCTGGCAGAAGTCAGTGCTGCTCCAAGGATGATCAACTCCTGATAAAACTCCTGAGTGAAATTTCATACCAGCAGCGGTATTGAGGGATTGCCTGTGCTCCTGCCTTATCCTTGCTGGGGGAAGAAAAACCTCTCTGCAGATTCACCATGGAAGACCTGAAATGTCATTGCACTTCTCTCGTTCAAGTTATGTTGGCAGAACTTTATGGCTCTTCCTGTTAATTACAGTCTCTTTATTTACAGATTTCCCGACGCTGAAACAGCATCTGCTATAGCAGAGCTTGGATGTAAGCACGTTTGCAAAAATGTAAATGAATCCCATGTGGATAAAGCCAATAAAATAGTTACTACCTGTGCTTTCATGTGCAAGGCTCCTCTGCATGAAATCTTCGATGGAATTGGAACAATGGTACAGGAAGTCCTGAAACTTGCCTGACTGGAAGCATGCAGATTTCTGCAAGGAAATCAGTTAGCTAAGGATAAGCGTTTATCGTGCTTTGATTGCATTAATAAAATCACACAACTGTTAAACTTCACACATCTTGGTTGATTTGTGGTTTTACCGTTTGTTTTTGATATATCACAGATTTTTTTTAAAATGGTTATTACTAAGTTTATCCTATTTCTTTCTCTTAAAATAGAAAGCATGTGTTGAAGGTTGTGTTGGTGGTGGGGGAAGATTTTTTCCCCTTTTCTCATTAATCTGAATATATTTAGTCTTGATAAGATGATGTAGGAACTCTGCTGGTCCAGTGGGGTTTTATCACATCACTGATGATTATCAGTAATTGACATTTGGTGTTACCCAGCTATGATTACAGATGAAATAGCTGTAAATGAGTCGTATACCTTCAGTATAGGTGAGTAATTCAATTCTACTTTCTAATCAGAAAGGAAAAATAAAGGAATGTGGTTATTTGGTTGGTTTTGTTTTTCTTTTCCTTTCCCTTACAAGTCTTTAAGCAAGTATAAATTAACTTCTGCAATTTTTGCAGAGCCCCTAGGTAAATGAACTTTATAAACCAGGAGTCAGAGGCTTAAGTACAAATGAATACATTATGTGCAGAGAATACACATTTTGCATTAATAAATGAAATAACTTGAAGTTTAGTTAGTAAAATGAATTGGCTTTATTTTGTGATTTTCTTTCATACATAGCATTTTAGTGCCCTAAGGAGGTACAGTTTATATATGTTATAACACGTGCTTTAATCTTACAAATGTGAGCAAAGGCCGTCAGTCTCTCTCAGAAGCACAAGCTGGCGAGGCTTTGTACTCCTGAAGGAACTAAACATTCCCAGAGTTCATTATCAGGGCAAGTTGCTTATCGCTGTGGACACTTAAGTGTCTTGGCATATGGAGCGCTCTGATGCTCACAGGTCTCTGTCAGTCGTGACGAGGGTACTGCAGCCCGCGCTTTGCTGTGCCTGAAGTAATCTCAACGTGTGTTTGCTAATTAGTGCTAATCGTGTCCTGCTGAGTGAGCACCTTGCAACTGGAGTGGGAATACAGCAGGAACAAACCATAGAGCAGCCAAAAGGTGGAACTGGGAAATACCACTGCTATGAGTGCTGAGTTGTCCCTCTTGCTCTGCAGCTGGCATGATCAGGAAGGGCACTCACGTTTACCTGGTCAATGCAAGACCACTCTTGACAGCCAAGCCTGACGTATCGCAAGGTATCGAGTGTTACTCTGTTCCTGTGCTGTTTATTTTGGCTCAAACATCAAAGCTCGGACGTAACAAGTGGCCTCTTCAAGGAGGCTTTAGAGCTAAATCTACAGAAATTAATATATGAAGGCTTTTATTTGTCCTTGCAGTGGTGTTTCGCACAGAGACAGCATTTCCATACTCCTCCAGAATTTGGATTTCCTTAATGAAGTTATTTAGCAGAAGCAGAACATGCAGACTTTTTTTGGCAGAAGAGCAGGGTAATTTTTGTGTCGCACGCAAGCAGTGCTGTCCCTCTAGAGGTACAGAGATAATTGAAGTCGGGTGTGCCAGCAGAGGATCTTCTGTTCTGCCAGACTGAGCTGTGCACGTAACCACTAAATTATTTACTTAAAAAAACCCACAATATTGGATGGAACGTGGCTCTTCTGTTATAGGAGTCCAATATAAAAGGACTCGAGTCACTAAATAAGAGTTTGTCCTAAATTTTGTGTTTGCTTTGTGAACAGCATCTGGCTGTTGGTTGGGACATTCAAATGAAGCACAGCTTCTCCGAAAGCACTCTAACTGCCTGTCCTGATAAAAATCTACTCAGTACTGAGCAGTCCTCTATGTTTTCCAGGTTGTACACAGACTCTAGGATGCCTTCTATGGCTTCTGCAGGCAGGACACTGGAGGCATTGGATTGAAACTTTTTCTCCAAATCCTCCTTTTTCAGAGGTTTCCTCCAGTGCCCGTAGAATGTGTCGCAGCGGTCGCTGATGGTGCTGCCGTCCCGAAGCGTGATGCTCACTTCGCAGTAAAGGCTCTCGAAGCTGGGTGTGTTGTCAGGAGGGTGCTCCAGCTGCGTTTTGTGGAGAAGCTCCCGCAAGGCTGGCCGGTGAACATTCGCACTGGCAAAGGACTGGACTGACATGCTGCCATCCAGCAAAGCAGAGCATGCCACAAACTGAAAGGAGTGTCGAGCTTCGTGCTCTGAGGTGGGGCTGGGTCTGTTCACATATTTGACCTCTGGGACTTTGAGAATGACTTTCTCAATTTTATCAAGGGGGAGAAAGTTGTCACTGCTCTCAACAAGCTTCCTCCTAACAGAACATGCTGCATCAGCCACCCAGTGCGTTCCAAGATGAGCAGGAAAGCGTTTGATGGCCACGTCTTGCTGATCCAACAGCCAGGGATAGGACTGCAAGGTTGGCAGAGTCTGTGGGTTGTAATCTGTGTAAAAGGCACCTATTCCCGACTCCATGTCCAAGATCTGTTTGTTTCCTTGAAGGCCCTGTGATGCTAAGCAGGCTGCTTCCAGTCCGTGCTTGGCAGCATTGCCAACATGGAGGGGCTTAGTTTGGGTTGCTGCATTAGCCAGTGGGGCACCTGCATAAGAGGCAGCAATAGCCAAGGCATTTTTACATTTCAGCCTGTCAAGAGCTAGCAGTTTAGCACAAGCTGCTGCACTCCCCATCGTACCAACCACAGTTGGTGGGTGAAACCTGAGAAAAAAAAATCTCTCCATTACTATATTTCAAAAAACCATCTGAATTCACCATATACACAAGTTCTAATTTCCTTTTGCTGCTGTGGAAGGTGAGCTGGATCATAAAGAAACATACATTCAGCATTCAAGCATGGCCTTGATGGAAAAAGTTTTTGCTTTTTCCCAGGATCAAGTTAAACTGGAATAGTACCGCTTAAAATAGGTCCTCCCCAGAATCACAGAATCGTTAAAGTTGGAAGAGACATCTGAGATCATCAAGTCCAACCATCAGTACCACCATTCCCACTAAAACATGTTCTGAAGTGCCACATCCATGCACTTCTTGAACAACTCCAGGGATGGTGACTCCATCACCTCCCTGGGCAGCCTGTTACAGTGTTTGACCACTCTTTCAGTAAAGAAATTTTTCCTAATATCCAATCTAAACCTCCCCTGGCACAACTTGAAGCCATTACCTCTTGTCCTATCATTAGCTACATGGAAGAAGAGACCCGCACCCACCTCTCTACAACCTCCTTTCAGGGAGTTGTAGAGGGCAATAAGGTCTCCCTTCAGTCTCCTCTTCTCCAAACTAAACAACCCCAGCTTCCTCAGCTACTCATTCTCAGCAATTGAAATGTTAGAAATGCTAGTGGTTCAAGGCACATTGAACAGAATAACGGCAAAAGCATGACAGTTTATGTTAATCTATAAATTATCTTTAATTAATTTATAGTCCTCTATAAATTATACACACAGGGGGAGGCGAGTTTTGATATTCTGAACCAGTTTCACAGAACTGGTGAAAGGAACACAGAGAAAATAGCAAGACATCTAGTCCATCCCACCCTTAAAGGCTTTGCCCTAAGCACTCCGCTCTGAGCCCAGCACTGGTGACTCCATTCTGCTGAGAGGAAGCCACTGTTTTCAGGTGAGGCATGTTCTATATGTATTCATGAAAACCTGAGACCTGTCCTGTTAAACTTTGCCCTTTTGCTGCTGTTTTTAATGAATATGGAGATAATCACCTCCTTCTTCTAAACGGATTGATGGTCCCAAAAAGAAACCTGTTGGTTAAGCCGTAAAGAGTCAGGTAACTGTATTCCTGTCTAAGATGAACCTCTCCAAAATTTCCAGACAACTAACAGAAAATATGATTAACTGTGCCATTTGTATTTTAACTGATATTTAATTAAGTCTATTAACACTGAAAAAAACCCCCTCCTTCCACTCAACTTTCTACTTGAACCACTTCTGTGTACCTTTTGGGAATGTTCCTGGCTTCACTGGAGAAGCGCAGCAGTCTGCCTTGCACCTCAATTCCCACATTGAAAGCTAAGAGCAGATCAAGACCTGAGGTTTTCTTCTTCTGAGGAAAGGCCTCTGAGAGGGCAATCACGGCAGGGAGCACAGCCCCGGATGGGTGTGTGGCTGGATGCCAGGTGTCATCAAAATCCATTGAGTGCACCTGATGGAAAGAGAAACCTCAACTTGTCATCATAAATAAACTAGAGCTTGGCAAGATTGTCTCAGTCAAATAAACTACTGTAGGTGGTATAAAAAAGGACTGAAGAACTAGATTTTCCTTAAAAAGCAAAACTTCAGAAGTCTTTCTTTTAAGATCTTTACTCCCAACGTGGCTCTGTGAAAAGTGGCAATGCAATACAAATCTTGCCTCAAAGAAGTAATAATTCTAATTCAAGTTGCACCAGTCTAGAACAGTATGACAATACATCATCTTTCCTACAGTAGGCTTTTGCTGCTTTAATTAGACTGATATGATTAAAGCAGAAGTTCTAGGTCCACTATGTGAACGGTGAGTTTTCACTTCCCCAAAAGGGAATATAAACATAATGAAATTACTTCCCAGATGCTGCAACTGGTGCTGGCATTAGGGCTCACACCATTAAAGCTGTAGCAATCAAATCCATCCTACTAATGGAAAGTTGCATCAAAACAATTTTTCCAGTACAACTATCCACATGGCAACAGCCACAAGCCTGCAAATGCACATCAGATTTAGCCTGAATTTTCAGCACATCAAGACAATACCTGTCACATGAGGAAGCAGGCTCTCTGGGATTGCTGGGAGTAGGAGAAAGCTACAGTCCTAAAACTGTGATGAGCCCTTGAGAGTATCCAGAGAGGTGCCTGCTCTTTCCCATTCCCAAAGTCCTGCTGCTCTGGAAGATTTGGAGCGTTTCCAGCATGGCATACCACTGCTGTTCTGGTGGTAGACTGTTCCCACTCAGGTCTTGCCCCCTAATACTGGGACTATGCACTTCTGAGGACTGTCTTGTTGAACAGACTGAAGAAATCCCAGTCCCTGCCTTGAGGAACTTGGATGCCAGCTGGGAAGATGCCCTGCAGTGCAGGATAAGGAAAGTTGTGCCCAATACCCATTAATCCACTTTCCTGGCATCTTCAATAAGCACTTGGAATTGAACTGTGACCAAGTTGTAAACTGAAATGATCGTGTACATGCTGACAGCCAGATTTGAATATCACATGGGCTGCTTGGAGCTGAGAGGTACCAGATCTCATTTCCAAGGTAATTTTTTCTACATTGGAAATGAGGTGTCAAATTTGACTTCTGATCTTGTCACACTAATTTAGACAGGCTTAATATTACCATTTCCTTGCTTGGTCACCTTTCCTCATTTTGCATAATTGCCAAATTTGTATACTCCACCTCTGGTGCATCTTTCAATTTCAAATGGTTTCAGCCTAAATCTGAATTTAGACAAATGTCTGAGGAGTCAGTTATTGCTTTACTGACAAAGTACGTGCCCAAAATATATAATTGGCTTCTGCAGACTGCATGACTGAAGATTAAATTGCCTTGTCATATAAATATGCGTGTATGTATATGTGCATCTATCTGTATTTGTGTTTTTCTGTACTTTTCTATACTTTGCCAGTTGAGGCGAAATTTGGATCCCAGTGAAATCAGTGAGAGATAGAGTATGTGTCTGTAATGTGGCTGTAGCAAGGTTGTAATGTCCCCAAGTCCCACATTAAAGGTAAGGGACGCTGTTGAGTTGGATCAGATATATATTATACTTTGAGTCTGGTCTCATTGGAAGAAAGTTGAAGCACATAAGGAGAACAGTCTAGGAAAGTTTTGTAGCAGGCTTCAGGCACAAGAGTAAAGTAAATTAAGATTTTAGGAGCATTCTGTTCTCTCTAGACCAAGAAAGGAATCAATTAGTGTGATTTAAGAGCAAATAAAAGAGCATCCCTTACAGCCACTCCATTCACAAAAGCTGCATACAGAGGCGGCAATCGGAAATCCAAGTGGCCCCAGATGGTGCTGGATACATCTGAGCTGTAGATCTGAAACAAATTGACATCAATTAATTCAAAGCCCTGAACCTAAGGATAAATGTGCGCCGTATATCTGATGTAACTGAGATCAGAACATACCCTCTTGGGACCCAGTTGTTCCCTTTCATGAGAAAAATACTGTTCTTCCAGAAAGTATGAAAAGAAACTCTGCTTCCTGCTGGTTTATGTCCCTTTGCACCCAAACAGACCTCAGGGAGCAGAGCAACACCATCCACCTGGCCATGCAGTACCTTCACACAACCTCTGGCCATTGACGTCCCTTCTTACCGCCCATAGGCAATTCCCTCAGGACTGTCATCATCTTGTGGAAAATCTACAGTTAAAGGTTCTGGTTTTCAGCATTTTAGTAAGAACCTGAGTAAATGATATATAATATATGGAGTGGGTCCAGAGGAGGGCCACAAAGATGATCAATGGGCTGGAGCACCTCTCCTACAAAGACAGGCTGAGAAAGTTGGAGTTGTTCAGCCTGGAAGAGAGAAGGCTCTGGGGGGACCTTACAGCCACCTTCCAATACATGAAAGGTGCCTATAAGAAATATGGGGAAGAGCTACATACTAGGGCATGTAGCGACAGGACAAGGGGTAATGGTTTTAAACTAGGAAAGGGTAGATTTAGGTTGGATATTTGGAAAAAGTTTTTCAATATGAGGGTGGTAGATCACTGGAACAGGTTGCCCAGAGAGGTGGTGGAGGCCCTATCCCTGGAGATAGTCAAGGTCAGGCTTGATGGGGCTCTGAGCAACCTGATCCGGTAAAATTGTCCCTGCTGGGTACCTTCCAACCCAATACAGTCTATAATTCTATGATCATATATATGGCCTCCTGGTGCTGATATCCCCATGCTCAAAGGGTGCTGCTCCTTCCCCTTTACTGTGCAGATCTTTTAACCAATGAAGAGATCTTTAGGGAATGAAATAAAAGGTCATAAACTACCATGGTTTGGGAAGGGGGGATCTCCGTGTGAAGAGACTTACTGGCACACAGACCTCTGGAGCCTGAGTCGAACTAGGCAGGTCTGGCCAGTAAAACAGGGGGCTAAACTCCTCACTGATGCACTCCTGTGTTGGGAAGGCTTCTCCTCAGGGTAAAGTGCTCCTCTAGTTTAAGGAGAGCAAGACAGGAGGAGAAATATGACCAATGTACCTCGAACAGCAATCATGCTTTATGGACTGGAAGTAACTCACTGCTAAGTCTCTATTCCTTTAACAGTTCCTTATATTTGAAAGTCTGGTGATAAGTGATTGTTGTGTTTGCTTTGATGACGTTTTAATAAAATCTCATAGTTGAAAGAAAGAGATTTTTAATTAACTGTGTTTGCAGTGGTGGGGCTTAGCATACAGTCTGTTACACAGCCTTTTGCCCATCCAGAGTTAAAAGTAAATTGAGCAATGAAGTTTCCCTGTCTCCAGTGGGAAGAACATTATGTCTCTCTTTCCACCCCTAAAAGAATTTCGCCATGACAAACTTTCCCCTTATAGCCCAAATTTTCCCTTGCTTTTCTTAAAGCTAAACCTTAGAGTATGCTACTGAATCCTAGACACCTTACCTTGCTGTACTGCGTCACTTTGTGGCAGACCTCGGTGCCTGTACCCAGTAGCCCCACTCCAAGAGTATCCAGAATCATTCGCTTGCTTCTCTGAATGACTTGATCTGTCAAGTGATTTGCATTCAAACCATGAATCACATTGGCAAAATTTCCTGTAATTGTCTGGGAGAAAAAAAAAGTAGATTGTTCTCTTTATTTAAAGAAAACACTTTTTTTTTTTTATTTCTTCTTTTTTTAATTTGCTTTCAGTTTCAGGCTACTGCTTAGCATGCTGACCATTTCTGTTGCCCTGCCCTGCTTACATGAATTACATCAGCAAAACTAAAGTTTGAATTCTTCCTCTTTTTATTCCCAGAAATGCCACGGTGTCATTTGTATTTTATTTACACTTTCATCATGTCCTTGTCTGTTCTGTATTTCTGCTGCTTGCTCCCTTGAGTCTTTGAGGTGATGTAACTTTGCAAGATTATCTATATCTATATCTATATCTATATCTATATCTATATCTATATCTATATCTATATCTACATCTACATCTACATCTACATCTACATCTACATCATCTATCTCTATCTCTATATCCACACACATATATATAAAACAAATAGAAAAAACCCCATTTCTTTCCATAACACCTTGTTCTTGCTATTGAAATCAGTGGGAAAGTGGCATTTCAATCCAGTGAGGTCACTGCCACACAAGGAGGCAAGATTTAATCTCCCTGAGTAGCAGAATCACTATTCCAAATCTGGCTGAGCTTGGAGGTCAGTGGGAAACAGGACCTGGCAGCCCTACCTTGCACTTGTTGTTCCTAGCTTCCAGCTCCCATTGAATTCATGTTCACCTGGACTCTCAGCTTTTCTACAAGACAAGATCTCACCTCTTTGAAATGCAATGGCTCCTTCCTGGCTTCTGCTGACCCGGGAATTATATTTCTTTTTTTTTCTTTTTTTCCTTTTTTTTTTAATTTTCTATTGAGCATTGACCCAATATGTAAATTCAGCCTGCTTCTTGGCTGGAGCTGTTAGCTGCTGTTAATATCCCTTTTAGAAACTAATCTAGAAATTCCCTTCTAGAAACTAACCTAGAACTTCCCTTCTCTGACTATTAGAAATTTCCCCCAGTACAAGTATATATTATTTACAACCAGTCTATACACACGCTTGCTTTTTTATACTGGCATTGCTGAATATAGTGCTTCTCTCTCTGGAAATTGTCTCCTTCCATTTCCCCTCACCCTTACCCTTCCGCTAATACTGTCCTGGTTTACTGGGACAGAATTTTAGAGTCAGTTTCTGTTGAGGAAACTGTGATTTTTGTAAGGAATACAACAATTTGTTTCATGGGAACAAAGTGATAAGACTTTGTTACAGGTTGCAGGTAATGCTGGGTGATGCTCAAGGCCTTCAGCGGTCTTGAGATAAATCTGTGCAGAGGCTGGGGGAAGCAGGAACCCAGGGTAATTGACTCCAGGCTGACCAATTAGTACTAATCCACACCATAAATGTCACATTCACTATAAATTGGGGGTTTTGCTGGTGACAGCCCTTCTCCCATCTCCTTCCTTCTTCCTCCCATGGCTGACATCTCAAGAGGGACTTGTCTACCATCCTATCCCTGAGGTCTACTCCCCACAATATTGGCTGAGTATTACTCTGTGTACTTTATATTACTGCTGTTATTAATATTAGTTATTATTAAATTAAATTTATATATATTTCAACCCACAAATCTCCTTTCCTTTTCCCAATCCCCCTCCCAGGAAGGGGGAGGAGGAGGCATCAGGTGATAGAGCAACTGTATAAACCACAACAAATCCCCTGTACATATCCGTGCAGAGTGATGATATTTCCTCTTGGCCTTCATTTTGCTAAGTTAAATAAACAAAACTGTGCTGCTCTCTCCTTTATAATACAGACTCACACCTACTATGCTAGTAGCTTTTCATTGTGCTGTACACATCAAATTTCTCTTTTCTGCCAATGGTAACCAGAAATGTACCTGTTGTTTCAGACAAGTTCTCACTTAGCTTTGTACTAAAGCATGAAGATTATCTTGAGGAACACAAAGTCATTTAGAGCAGGTGAACCACATATCCCATGGTGTGATATACTCCTACTGAAACATATAGAGTGAAGGTACAAAAGCTTAAACAGAAAAGTCTTTACAGTGCAAAGAAACAAGACAGTACCTTTGCCCACATCTTGAAGGGATGGTGCCTGGTCCCAGAGAGATGCAGCTAGTGAGAGGTAGCCAGCAAGCAGGGGAAATCACTCTCTCACTATTTATATACATATGTCTAGGGTGGGGAAAGAAATATTAGGCTTTTTTCTTGCTCATCTTGTCCTGCCTATTTCCTCATCTGCCCGGAAAAGTTCCTTTCTCATCACTCTCAACTTTCCCCTGACTAACTGGACTATAACAATTATAACTATACTATAGTATAGTACTAACTATAGAAATATTTATATTATTGCTGTATACAGTACTAACTATACTAACCTGCTGGAAAGTGTGTGATAGGACTTTTCCAGTCACATTCACATGTCATAGAAATTGATACATGTGAAACTTTATTATCCGATAGAAACTAATATATTAATTTGAATGTTTTATGTTTGGTGGCATGGAGAGGAGAGGTCATCAGGTATGTCTCCTTGACCCCTCTGTGCTGCTGGATGGCACAGAGGAGACACAACAGCCAGTTAAGGGGAATTTTCCAAATGTAAGAAGCGATATGGGACTCTTTTAATTTCCCCTAACAACCCCAACAGAGGGAACAGTGAATACAGCTGAACAGTTGAAAAGTATGGGAAAATTATGCAGTAATCTAACTCCTGATTGTCCTAATTTATAGCTGTAATGACTGCTCTAAGACAGGCAGCATTACACTGGGAAGTCCACGATCAGAATGGGGCAAAATTGGCTCATAACCTTTTTTATCTCTAGAAGGCATAGTGTAGTGTCAGTGAGGACTGCATCCTCAGCCTCAAAACAGGGCCTATGTAACAACTCACAGCTTACAATATCTTTTTAATCCTCGACATTTTGAAACACTTGTTACAGGAAAGAAGTGAATTCGGAAGGGAGCCAGAACTTGTGATGTGCTTTGCAATGTGATGTGTGGTCACACGCTGCTGCCTGATCTCAAATATATGGTCACTTCCTTCTGCAACCTGGATTGCAGGATGGATTGTCCCATGCACTGCAATAGTTATATCAGTGCTATTTAAGGACTGAACTGAGATATTATGAGAAAGTGACTTTTTTAAAAAAGAATGAAGCGAAACTGTAAGTACAGAAAATTGCTTGCGAGTCTGATTTCCAAAATGTGGTTTGCAGACCTCAGTGATGTACGCTGTAGACCGTGAGGGAAAGGAAAGCAATATGATTATCGCTGCAGGGGGAAGAGGCGTCTATACAATGTCCTGAATCTCCATAGGAAAATTTGTACGAGTCTAAACAGAAGGTTGAAAATCACTGCCTGCGAGTTTGGCACAGGCAGTCCACTCTGACAAAGGGAATCTGCCGCTCTCCTCTTCTTCGACACACAATATGCATGGTTCAGCAATTTGGGCAGACAATTTGTTAACTAGCGAGCATGGTGGAAAGACAAAATGCATTCATCCAAATGCCATTTGCAACATCACGCGCAGCTACAGTAATGAGCTGTGTTGATTACAGAACAAGGCTTTAGAAAACCAGTGCCCCCCAGAGTCTATTTTCTCCTGCTGACATCACATTTTTAAGCTGCTTTTTCTTTCTTTTGACTCCAGTTATTTTAGGCTAAACTCTGCCCACACCTGCAAGCTGTATGTTTGCAACTGGAAGCCGTTTTGGCCTTAGCCTTATGCTTCTTTTGTTCTAAAGAAATCTAAAAAGTCATGACAAAATACATAGGCCAGGCTTCCTTTTCTCTAAGCCAGCTTTTAAGATGTAACTTTGTTCTTGGGCTGTGCCAAGATGAGAAAACGGGAGGCAGGTGCCAATGTGCTCTGTTTACAGAGCCTGTGCTTTTGCTGAGGGTCTGAAAACACCTTTACAAGTGCAGGAACTGCTCCTTTTCCCTCAACTGGGATATTTTAAGCAGAGTAAAGAGATGAGAATCTCAACGAATGGTCTGGAATAGGTGGCTTGGTCTAAATCCTGTTAACAGCCCTAAATCTTGAGATCCCACAGTTTTGCACCACTATCATTAAAGTCTCCTGTGCCTCTTTTTCCCAAAGCTACCTTCCCATGTTCACCCGAACAGCAGCTACTGAGCCAGTTAGCAGTAATACACAGCAAATGTAATAGACAATCATTGCACCACAAAATGTATAATTCTGGAAATTTCTAGCCTATAGCAGTTCTCTTATTCATTTGCTTGCATAACTAGCGACAACTGCAGTGCAATCTCTGAGAAGTTACAACACCCTTGTTTCCTTTTTTCAAATTCCTCACAGCAAATTTTGGAAGTGCCAGGCCACATTCTGGTAAAGTTTGCTACAAGTCAGCACACCAGGTCTACATTGCACTGTCCCCAGTCCCCTGTGAGCAGCATCTGCACCCTAGGGTACCACCACTTCTCCTCAGGATGCCTCGCAACCATGTTCCCAAAGCGTTTCTTTATCCCACCCTATTCCCACACTATTTTCTAAAGAAATAAGGTTACCTGAGCTAGTAGCAGGTGGCCATAGGTGTTCTATATGACATGACCTCCAGTCTGAATAATAGCAGTGGGTGTAGGAGGTCACATAGGTTTTCTGTATCTGCATAGACTTTGCCATAACTACTTCTTTTGTTGATGGTTTTGTCAGCCAGGTGCAGCCTGTAGCATACATTGCTCTCTTAATTACAGAGCAGTCATGATGTCTATATTAAGTTGCCAAAATGCAGCCAGATGTCAATAGAGGACTTGTGCCATTTGGGGAAAGTATAAAACTTGACTAGCATGAATTCAGAGTTTGATTAACAGAAACCAAATTAACATAAGCGCATGTAAGGGATATAGCAATTTTAATTAAATTACCAGCAGAACTCTGGTGGTGCAAGCAAGGCATTAGTCACTGTGCTGGGCTGCTGCATTGTACACAGAGAAGTACCCAGCAAAGAGACCCACCTCATCATTTCGGAGCAAGCCCAGATGTCAGGCTTTGATGACAGGCTCCAGCAAGCTTGCAGTGGTGGTCCAGTGGAGAGATGTGGATATCAAGATCTAGTATATGAAAAGCTTCAACATTAATTAAGGGATAAAAGAACCTCTATGCATCTAAACCACTACTCAAGGATTTTAGGAAATTATCTCAGACACTATTGAAAAATTTGCCTGCCCTGGAAAGGCTAAAATAACACCTAAAACACACACAGAAAAAACAGAATGAATGATAAAACATTCTCCTTCAAACAGAAATGGGCTTGGGGTGAAAAATTCACCTGATTTTGTGGGAGTCCATCATTTACCTGTCAGCAGTTGCAGAAGCACTTGAGACAGGTACTGGGAGTTGTCGTGTGAGTTGGCAGAGTTGTTCCTCCAGCTTTCGAACCACATTGCAAAAGCCACAGAGTAATTGTTGCTGATGGATGCTCATTCTGCAAGCTTGTGCCTTGGGTTTCTTTCTTCTCTCAATTTCTGGACTACAACATCTGCTCAGACAACATGCTCTCGTTGATGTCCCCAAAGCAGCGCGGCTGTCCCATGAGCTGCCCCTTAGCATCTTGTGGTCTCTTATGGGGCACTCCAGTAACTGGAGGAAGACTCTTTTTCCTCATCTGTGGTTGTATGTAGCTAGGTCATGCATTTTCCACCCTTGATATATTTTAGAAGTGCCAAGAAATACTGCAAAGCAGCCTAAAATTTTAAATGCGGCAGTTGCTGATTTATAGTGTAATTATAAAACATGCCATGGTAGTTATTAGACGTGAGATCGAGTATTACATGTTTCAGACTGTAAACCATGCTGGGAAATTTCTAGCTGTGATTATATATTCACTTCTAAAGAGAAAATGGGCTTAATTACACCAACATTTATAAAAGACAGAAGTAACAGCAAAAAAACCCCAACAAAACAAAGAAATAAATTTGAAGACAAGAGCTATGAATACATAAAAAATTTATATTATTACACTTCTCTAATTGAACATTTAAGCAGAAGCTAATGATTTGATTTAAATTTATCCTTTTTACATAAGTAACTTTTGAAGAATTTGAGTTTTAGAATTTATAATGACAATATTTTTCCCCTAACATTACTCATCTTCAGCATAGTAGATTAAGACAGATGCAGGAAGCATTAAAAATCAAGGAAAATTACTGCTTTCACAAAATGAAAGGAATGATTCTATAACCTTTGATCATCCATGTTGACTCTTCAGCAACAGCAGAGTTTAAAACTATTCACTTAAAAATGGTACCTACTGTCAGATGTAGCGGAACTCAGTATTTTATTTAATTTTTCCCCTCCTCACAGTAGTTATATTCCTCCTTATGTGGCCTTGGATGTTGAAGGAGCAATAGTGCTAGCTGTAAAGAAAAGAATATGCTGTTTGAGTCGTTGCATTTTTTAATTTCAAAAGCATTACTCCAGGTCACATTCAGTGAGAATGTACAGTGTCAGTAGTACCGTCAATGCACCCAGCTTATCCTACTGACTTTGGTAACTTCTGCATGGCACAATGCCAGCACTACGACTTTGGTTTTAATATAATAAGCAAATAAACCAATCCTGTTCCTCCTTTTCACAATTAGAAGGTTTTTCCCACTCCTGCAATCTGGCTATTTCAACTCTTTAATCAAACTGAGCAGTTTTGAAGTCTATATTTTCTTTTGGGATATTTTTTCCTTTTTTATTTTCTTGATTTGGAATGGTATTTTTATTATACTTTGGGGTGCGGAAGTCAGAAGAGAGAGGAGATGCATTTCCTCCCCGCCCCCACCCCTCTTTCTTGCCAATTAATCTACTGAGTCACAAATGAAGGAATACTGAAGCATTTTGATATATCCTAAAACACTGGCACAATCACAGTGGGGCATGAATTCCCCGTTCAACCAGTGATACACAGAGCAGGCACAACGCAATGTCATTTCAGTGCATGAGAAAAGCAGGCAGCTTCCTTGGGTGGCAGCTTTTAGGAAGCAGCTTGCTGCTGTGCTGCCTACAAACTGAAAAATAAAGCAAAGTGCTTTTTAGCCTGATCCACCCATATCTGTTTTATGCTTCTGGGTTCTTCTGCAGCTGCCAAAGGAGGGGCTCCTAAGGAGAACAGGGTGGCTGATGCCGAGAAGTTGTTTTTCCCCACAGTTTCCTGCTGTCTCGCCCTACTACCCTTGGCAACAGGGATCTCCTGCCCAGCCCTGCACTGCCCGTTGTCTTCCTGTGCTAACAAAGCCCAGGAACATTTACCCATGCTCTTCTACACCCTGTAAATTTGGGAAACCTGTCTAGTCAAAATCAGTTAGGGAAGTTGGATGGTTCCTTGGCGAGGGTGAAGGAGGAGAGGAAACAGAAGATAAGTGGCTGTATGGGAGTAAAACATGATCTGTCTTATAAGGAAGAGCACATTTTTGTGAGGCAGGGAAAGGAAACATGGGGAAGAAAGGAAAAGAAGAAGGGGAAGAAAGGAAAAGAAGGGGAAGAAAGAGACCTCAAGCCCTTATATATTCCTGCTTTCTAAGGTCCCCTGATTCCTCCCAAGTCTCCTCTTCCCAGCCCCCAGAAACTTTAGAGCAACACTGAATTTTCCTGTGCTGCTGAGTAGCTGAATAAATCCCTGCTGCTTGGAAAGGGAGAACTAGCACTAACTCCTTGTGCCTCCCTCAGCAGCAAGCTCAGGCAAGAGTGACCTCTTTGCCTAAATAAACTCCATGAAAAGGAGGTCAAAGAAGGTGATTCTCCCTCTCTGCTCTCATGAGATCCCATCTGGAGTACTGCATCCAGCTTTGGGGCCCCCAACACTAGCAGGACATTGAGCTGTTGCAGTGGGTCCAGAGAAGAGCCACAAAGATGATCAGAGGGCTGGAGCACCTCACCTATTGAAGACAGGCTGAGAGAGTTGGGGTTATTCTGCCTGGAGAAGAGAAGGCTCTGGGGAGACCTTATAGCAGCTTTCCAGTACTTAAAGGGGGCCTACAGGAAAGATGGGGAGGGACTCTTTATCAAGGAGTGTGGTGATAGGAGAAGTAGTAACAGTTTTAAACTGAAAGAGAATAGATTTAGATTACATATTAGGAAGAAATAAGGGTAAGGCACTGGAACAGGTTGCCTAGGGAAGTTGTGGATGCCCCCTCCTTGGAAGCATTCAAGGCCAGGTTGGACAGGGCTTTGAGCTGCCTGGTCTGGTGGGAGGTGTCCCTGCCCATGGCAGGGGGGGTTAGACTGGATGATATTTAAGGTCCCTTCCAACCCAAACCTGTTTTATGTTTCTATGATTCTATGAAACAAAGGGCAACTGCTTCAATTTTTCAGTGTTTTACGAGGAGCTGGTACACTGGGGTGCAGGGCAACATATACAGAACTTTTTGACAGAGGAGTAACTAGTTGGCCCAGAGACCCTCTGCAGCTGAGCCTAAATTGGTACTAAGTTTGGCACTGCAGTAAGATCCACCCCACACATGTGGTTTGTGATCACGTAGTTGGTGCTGGCCCTCAGCAGACACTAATGCAGGCATGCCTCCCTGAGCCAGGGTTATATGGCTTTTTGTTTGCCCTCATTTTCCTTGCTGATGGCATTTGGCTTGCCTCTTCCTGGTCCTTGAGACAGTAGAAAACAACTCAAAATACCCATGGGAGCTGTGTCCAGCTGTCTGACGCATCTGGAGCAGGAGTTGCTCAGCAATGGTGGCACCAGCTCCTTCTCTCAGTTTTCTTGGCCATGCAAACAAGGACCTAGGGCCTTGTGCTATCTGTCCTCTGCTCCTGACTTCATTCTGTCAGTGCCATCATTTCTGGTCAGAAATGCTGCCTGCCCCTTTCAGACGCAGTTAAGGTTGCTTGTAAGCTGACTTCGTGCCAGAGACTTTCTTGACTTGGGGGAGTGTACAACATGGGAATTGACCGCTTTGGTGACTGCTCTTGAGATGTGGCTGAGAAGAAAAACCCCAAACCAAACCAGAAATCCCAAGCAAATAATTCCTTCCTATTGCCCTCACACACTGACTGTACCTACAGTCTTTTTCTGTAGGTGCAGCTACCTTTGCTAGTCAGCACCTGTTAAGGCAGCTGCTCCAAAGTTTGCAATTTTGCATCATGTATCCAAGCTCAGCTTTCATTCCTGTTCCTCAGGAGGACATGTGCTGTGAAGCCTTCCCTGAGACTATAGGTCAGCAAAGGGTAAACGTTCAAGAGTCTGGGAGAGGGAGAAAGGGCTTGTGGTCAGACCTCTGCATATTCTCCATGTCTTCATGAAAAAGGTCAGAAATAAACCTTGGCTAAGGGAGGAATGAAATAAACTATCCTTATCTATTGTATGAAATGTAGTATTTTTTAATGGGATGCTGCTTCCATATAGAGTCAGAGTTATGCTGAGCTTGCTCACTGACTCTAAGTGAAAAGCATGTATAGATTTATGGCCACCCTCAGCAAGATCTGCTATTTATTGCCCGATATTATATCTATTCTTTATCTGGAGAAATGGTCCTTCCTTCTTTCCTTCCACTTCTATTTTCATAGGTCAGCTGGGAGCATGTCTTCCCTGAAACCAGTGCAGGATGCCAACTTCCCATAACTCTACTCCAGTTTATGGCATTAGAGTGGATGTCCCACTGATGCTAGAAAATGGTGATCCTTGTTCAGATTGTCTGTGACACATGCTGGAATGAGTTCATGATGGGGCTGGAGGTCAGTGCTGGAGGTGGCATTTGGAAAGCAATGAGCCCTCTTTTCTCTCCTGTCTCACAAGTCATCAGCCTGAATAATCTCCACTAGGATGGGTACTTCTGACAGAGGACCTGGAGCTTCAGGGACATACAAGAAAAAAGAGTGCAAGGTTGAGGGTGGAAGCTGAATTTGAGAATCTGCTTCTGGGCTGTGACAAAACTTCCTGAGAAATCCCTGTAAGGATAGGGTAAGATGGGCTTCAAAAGCTTACTACGTTCACACAAGCAGGTGGGCAGCATAGTGAGTTTCCTTCCTCCATGTCATCATGCTACAAGGAAGCCTGTAGTGGAGGTAACTGGCTCAAAGTGAACAGCCTATGGGCAGTGAACACAGAGCCTGCCCATAGGCTTCTGTTTCCTTGCTCTGAGAGTCTCACAAGAGCCTCACTACAGTATGGGCTGCATCTGCAGCAGACGCCCTAGCACAGAATCCAGCCTCACAATTGCTAACAAGTGATGGGATTTAAAAGCTCACATTTATTTGGGACCCTTATTACTTTATCTTTGC